CTTCGCGCGCGCGCCGCCCTCGCCCTTGCGCCGCTTGCCCGCGGGCTCCGTCGACGACCCGTCCTCGGAGTCCTCCTTGTCGGGCTTGGCGCCGCCGAGGCCCAGGCCCAGGCCGCCGCCGAGGCCCAGGCCGCCGCCGCCGCTCGAGCCGCCCTCGCCGCTGTGCTCGCTCGTCGTCGCCGACACGGCCGCGTAGATCGCGTCCGTCGACGCGGGGTCGTCGTCGAGGTCGTTCAAGAGATAGTCGCAGAGCCCCGCGTCGGAGATGCCGAAGTCGCCGTTCGCCGAGAACGACATCTGATCCGCGAGCGCCATGTTCGACGCGTCGGTGCGCGTCCGGGGGGCGTTCCGGGGGGCGTTTTTTTCGCCGCGCGTCGACGCGGTCCCGGGCGGTGCTCGGACGGGCGTTTGATGCCTCCCCGAGTCGGTTCGGGTCGCGCCTCCGGGCTTCGGAACTGCGATTTATGAGGCGTCCAGCCCGCGGCTCGGCCGCTCGTCAAGTGCAATATGGGGCCAGCCGGGGCTGCGATGCGCTCGCGGGGCCCGCGGGGCGACGCCGGACGATCGCGTCCTTCGGGGCCGAGCCGGTCGTCTGCGGCGGGGCCGCGCCCCGCCGATACCGCGACATCCGACCATCGACTTCGTCGGAGCCTGGGCCCCGCGCGCGGCGCCGTCCGCGCGGCGCGGCTCGCGGCGCCCTCAGAAAATGTGAGCGATGGTGCAATAAATCTTAGTACGTGTTTCTTGGAAGCCAAAACTGCCTCTCAGAATGTTTCAACTAAGGCTTATAGGGGCATGATCGGCTGTGAGGCTGCGAGGCGCCCGAGGCAAGGCCGGCCTTGTTGAAGAGCTTGAGCTTTTGGCTTGTTGAGCTTTGGCCAAGCCCTCGGCCGGCGGAGCTCCGAGCGCAACTTGCGCCGCGGCGCGACCCCGACCTCGCCACCGCCGCCGTCGACTTGCTCGTCGACCGCGCCGGAGCGTTCCGGCTTGTAAGCGCCCGCGCGCCCGCGCGCCGGCGACTCGCGCGACCGCGAAGCGATGACCGCCCTCTCCGGTCCGACGTTCGGGTTGGACGCGAGCGAGGAGCTCGACGTCATGGACGGCCTATTTTTCAACGAGCTCTCGGACCTGCCGGTCGAGCCGGGCTCGGCGAAGATGTACGGCTCGTCCGGGCCCCAGCCAGTCGTCGACACGCCGATCACCGACGAGGAGCTCATCGGCGCGCGCGCGGCGTCCGGAACGGGGGGTTTCCTGCCGCGCCCCCGGGGCGCATCCGCGCGCCGCGCGTCGCACGAGCGCGCGCGAAAACGGGCCGCGCGCGCGCGGTCCCCCGCCGCGACTCCGACCGCGCCGCGCCCCGCAGCGTCGCTGCCGCTGCCCAGCGAGAAGGAGTCGAAGCCCAAGGCCAAGGCGGCCGCGGGGTCGAAGCCGAAGGACGCGGCGGACCTGTCGGAGACGCGGCGCGCGCGGAACCGGGAGCACGCGCGGCGGTCGAGGTGTCGGAAGAAGCTCATCATCGAATCGCTGCAGCAGTCGCTCGTCGCGTACCAGGGCGAGAACGAGCGGCTCCGCGAGTTCGTGCGCGAGAAGCTCGGCGCCGAGGCGGCGGCGCCGAGCCTCGAGTACTGCGCGGCGCAGTCCAAGGGCGACGGCGACGCCGAGGGCGAGGCGTCGCTGAGCGAGCGCGGCGAGCGGACGCGCGCGATCAACAAGTACGACTACGG